ACCATATAACTGGGTTGCTGGGCTTTTTCTTCTACGGTCGTGAATTGATTACTGCTGGTGAGGGGCTACAGGCCTGTGTTTAATCACTGGCACTCACCCAGTTGTGCTTCCCTCCCATTGCTGTAATCAGGTTTTATTTAAATGTATTAAACCCGAGTAAACGGCAGAAAAGCCAACAGCCACAAATATTATATATTCTGTTACCAGACTGAACTTTCTTTTTACAGTTATACTTACCAAGACGACCTAATATGTTGCTCCATTGGCCTTATCACCATGAAAACTCGCAATTCAATCGAGACGACCAAATTAAAGAGGAGATATTGTACTATTTTCAGATTCAGATTTATGCCTCTACTGTGACGTTAACATGCTTTAAAAATGGTCTTTATTTTTCTCATACTGTCTGTGCTGCAGCACCTCTTTTCACCTGTGGTAGAGAAACTTCCTCTAGGGGGAACTTTGGGATTTTAGCCTTTGAAGACCATTTACTACAAAAAACGATATAACACACTAGAGGAAAGGGCAACCCCCCCCCCCCAAAAAAAAACGAGGGCCTCTTTAACATCACACCCCTCTTCTCAGGTTTTTTCTTTCACCTGTGGGGATACAGGCCATGTATAACTTTGTTTTTAGTTTTAGTTCAGCAACAAAAGTGTTATCTACAGTACTTTTTTTTATCTGGGAGTAAACTATTTGTGAGTGCAGCTCACGGTTTGACGCCACTGTGTTTCATTAAATTCTCCGTCAGTGGGCTCCACACCCCAGGCTCTCTCTAATCTCCTCCCTAGAGAGATGGTGCAGCACTCCGTCACCCGCACAACACAGAGACGTATCGTAATGCGGCTATACATATTCTCTGGTGGCATATTTAGTGCACCTGATGGCGATTATGTGATGTACATTTCAGAGATCTTATATTTTATACGATGACTTGAATGTCTACGAGCAGAGGCTTAATGCACCCACTCCGCCACTAGTTTGGAACCAAATCTCTCCAGGGTTGTTTTCTATCCTTTTCAAATATATTATTCATTGACACTGCACCAGGAGCGGATTTGTTGGCAGTAAAGCAACACTAAATAATTGCTTCTCAGTTAATCACTTCAGCTATCTCATGTATTCATTAATGAATTATTGAATGTATTCCTTTACCTGCATGTTAAAGACTGCAGCAGGAAGTATTGTTACGACTGGGGCACACACGAAAATGATAGGACCCAAATGCACGACTCCAGACAAAAGATGGTTCAAAAAAGGAATGTACTTAAGGTGATAAGCAAGGCAATACAAAGTCTCATGTAAAGCAAGGACTCCAAAAAATGTAACTTCAATTTGTAGCTCAGATAACATCTGGCTGACAAGTATCATAAGGCTCGAAACAATCTGGCACAGAGAAAGCACAGAATAAATACACACACAAGGGACTCTACAGGTGCAAACAATAAGGGCGGGGCAGGTAATCAGGTCAGTGAACACACAGGTAGGAGTCGAACTACCTGAAATGAGAGAGGAGATTACCAAAGTAAAACAGGAAATGACAACAAAAAAGGGTTAGCGGACTTAATGATATTAATTAAACAGAGATATAATACTAACAAATCTAACAGTTCCTGCTTTAAGCTTCTTAAGATCATTGTATTTTAGATCATAGCACTATTCCATATAGACTGCTTGCCCTTCATTGAAACTTCTCAATTTGTTTGGGTCCACACCATGAAAGAAAGTTTTGTGCACTCTCTTAGACACATTTTCCCCCATATTCAGCTAGCCAGGAAAATAGTCTAAAAACAATTTGATCTCATTGCCAAATGTAAAAGAAAATGTGGCTAAAAACGTTGTTCTCTTTCAATTTTGTTGTGGTTACACTAATGCTGTTAATGGTTATTTTGTATTGAAAAAATAGTTCTTATTTTCTCTCTTTATAGATTTTCTTTCAAGTCTGTTTTTTACATGTTCTCTTATGATACATTTAGGTTTATTTGACTATAATAATGAATAGTTTTGGACACAGTCGCTTTATAATGTACAACATTGCTCTTCAGGGTTTGATGTATAATGATCCCCTGATCTGTCTGGCCCCCTCCCTCCTCCAGGGCCTCACCATTCCCTCTTAATCTGTGACCATTTAAGTCAATCTCAACATTTTCATTCCACCTCACAAGCTTTTGAAGTGCACTCGTCCATCTTAGCGCCCTGATTAGCTCAAATTATTAGACTCATGGTAACAAATGAGAAACACACGCATGCCCTGTCCGTAAACTGGCTCTCTAAGCTTTTATAGCTTCAGTAGATGGACTGATAATATTGAATGATTAAACAGCTGAAGCATCGGGAGGAGGAGAAACACACAGAGAGAAAACATGACATAAATCCTAGCTAAGCAAAAGCATTACTCATCTTAAATTAAATTATCTCCCTGTCTTTGATAATGCAAAGTAATTTGATTCCAGCAAGTTAAGCTCCTTTTATTTCACCAGCACTCAGAAGTGCTGAGTCCCACTCACTGTTTTCCTTATCAGACTGGGTGATAAAGAACATGGCCTTAAGGCAAAGTAATGGCAATAATGGAACGTGTTGTTTATCCCGGTTCCATTGGGTGACATTTGCTTTGCCTCTGCCGCAGGACATCTAACTAACAGTAATGCAATTTCCTCTGAGGAGATTTGATTAAAATGTTGTGTCCTGACGAGGATGGGGCTTCAAAAGACTGCTTCACATCTTCTTTGCTCAATCTTTGGGTCTCCATGTTTACCATAGACTTTCTGCAGGGCATAAAGGTATCTGTTATCTGCTTGATAATAGAGCAGCATTAGCTGATATGCACATTACTTATTTTTTCTTGCAACAGGCTAATTTCCTCCAAATAAGATCCTAAGGCAACATTTAGTCCTCTTTCATTTGCAGCTAGTCCCAGACAAAATGTCCGAATGTGTTACTCTAACTTAAAGAATGAATTAAGTGTCGGTGAACAGCTTGGGGCAACTGTCAGTTCCCCCTAACCGTGTTAGCTCCTCGTGGGGCGGTATAAATGGGGTCACAGGAAAAGGTTTTGGTTTAGAGGGCTTTGGAATGGGTCTGCCATGGAGTCTCATTCGTTCACATGTAGGAGGAAAAAAAATGTAGGTATGTGGGTCCTTGTTTTGCTTCATGAATGAATATTTCACAGGGGTTTGATGTGCTTTTTCACACCCAGCGTTTGTTTGATATTAAAACATTCTCTGGGTTTATACTGATTACCTGGCTCCTATGTATATTTGCTGTGGTAAGGCTTTTGCATGTGCATGCTTCTATAGTCTAGAAAGCTTGTCTTAACCATCCATGCATTCAAACTCATATTGTGTGACTAAAAAAGGCAAAAGCCAAAATAAGTGCAAAGCTTCTCGTCTCCTCTACTCTCCCTGGATCCAGACAAATGTGTTTTCTTTTTTTTGGTCTTAGAGTGCCATAGTTATGAGTTAAATACTTGAATTGCTCAAGACATCACAGTGATCAATAATACTTTGATATGGTCCAAATTTGTTTGTAACATATATACAGTATATGTTCACATTGGGATCGGGATTGTTTTAAACTCATAATTTGCTCTAATTATTTTTCAAACTTAAATAAAAAAAAATACTTCTAATGGACAGTAATGCTAGACAGGCTCTTTTATTATTATTATTATTATTATTATTATTATTATTATTATTGTTATTATTATTATTATTATTATTATTATTATTATTATTACCTTAACTATTTGTAGAAAGCTATTTCTACAAATAGTAGAAATGATCCTATTGCTTGCTTATGCTGATAAACCCGCAATACTTCTTAATCCCCTTTTTCCTTTGAGCTGCAGATTTACATTCCAGTGCTCCCCCTCTGTATAGCGTTAACTGAAGAAGATTGATTATCAATGTGAGTGAAAATAGTAACCCTATCCGGTGGAGAGGCGGTGCTGTGACGGTGCTGTTCTGAAGGGTCTTGGGGCTGAGGGACCATTGTTGAGCTGACAGTGTCCACTGCTGGTGGGAGCGCTAACTGCAGTGTGTCTGCTGTAGCGCGGGACTGCAGGCTGTGCACGCGGGACATAAAGTCATGTGTGCTTCCATAGGCAGTGGAGAGTTCACGATTGCCTATACGTCATAGTTCCTTTCAGCTGGGGATAACTTACTTTACGTTTTTTTTTAAAATATATATATATATTGACGTTGTTGCTGCATTGCAAAAAAAATGTGTGTGAATGAACCCTCTGTAGTTGTGCATCGGCCAGCCAGTTTAACCCATTATATATTCAATCATAGCAACAGGTGCTGCAGAATGGACGCACAGGGGTGCACTAAAGCGCTCCACTCCCCTATGAGCCTAAATGTTTAATTATAGCCACAAACAGCAGATGGCTCTCTTGAGTTTCAATTTCCGTGCCTGTGATTGAGACTCGGATGATATTAATCCCAAAACAAGAAAAAGGATGACATATTTTGTCTTTCATTGGCTTTTGCGGTTTTCAGCAACACGTCTAATTCATTATTTTAATATAGAGAAATAATTTGGAGTGGAGCATTAAGTGGATATCCAGATGCTTGTGGTATATGAGATATCCTGCAGTCTCTGGTGGTCGTACAAGTAAAGATTATATTGACCGATTTAAGGAAACGTTTTCCTCCATCATTGTGCAATGCTGCTCTGTCCCTGGTGCTGAAAACACATTGCAAACGTAGCTCACAGCCTTAAAGACTTGCAATTAAAACAATATAATATATGCTTGTGTTCCACGTGTGCAGTTAATGTTATTTACCGTTATGAGATCACAAAGTGAATCTACTTGATTTAAAAAATATATATATATTGGCTAGTACATTTTAAAGGGAATTCCAGGTATTTAGCAAAGAGTGTTTAGTTGCATCTGCCTTATTTTAAAGCTGAAGAGCCCAAACTGAAGCATTCAAGGATAACATCTCGCCATCTAACGTCAGCATCAAAACCCTGCTGCTCATTCCCCTTCAAGCAGGGGCTCGGTGAGGGAGGGCACCGCCACACTCAGGCGTATACTAACGAGTGATTAGGACTTGTTGATGGGGAGGATTTGTTGATCGGGGGGTATAAAGACTCAAGCGAGTCGAGTGACTACTGCTTCCTTTCAGCTTTCTTCCCTCTGAGCGTGGGAAATCGCACTGGCGTTACTTTCCCTATTCCCTTTACGCACCGATCGCCATACATGCCATCTCCCGCCTTGGGCTCTGATGGAAAACCCATGGTGCGTCGAACTGTCTGCTGATCACCGGGGGGGTTAAGTTGCAGCTTGTCACACAATGCAGACGTCATCTCCACTGGATTCAGATCAGCTTTGGAGATGTTTTATTCTTCTCCTCAGTTCCTATCGCACCCTGTTGTGAGTATGGAATACTGTAAAGACAACATGTTTTGAGAATCCTGCAGACCGGAGGTAGCTGGAATACAAGTTTGCATTGATTTATGCTGCTGCATCAATTTTTTTTTACTACGGTTGCGTATTTCTTTCCATCTCTAAGTGTGTGACTAATGATCAGTCACCGCAGGGTCGCTGTCGCGGATAGCTTCTTGCAAACTTGAAGTTCGCATCGCCCGGTGCTGCTGTGCCTGCACTCGGGTGGTGATCTTCGCATGAGGCGTCTGTGTTTGCTGTCGGCGCACATGCACAGGCGTCCCCACCGGCACCCCAAAGAGCGACTTCTGATAGAGCAACCTCGTCTGCAAGAAGGAGGAAAAAACGGAGGGGTAAAAGAGGAAATAGTGGGTGCTGTGCTGTAAGGACGCTGCAGCCGGTAGTGGACATTTAAGGAGGCGATGCTGCTGAACATGTCACAGACAATGAACAAAAACATCACTTTGTGCAGGTATGAATGATCCTCTGAAATCTCCGTCCGCGTGAGTTTGGCGTAGCTCTTCCTCAAGACTATGTTTATTGATGCATGTATGGAATTACGCATGAACTGATCTCATTTTTTTCCATCATGTCCAAGAATCTTTCGACGATGTCATCTGTTTTAATATAGCAATGACAATGTAGTATTTGGACGAATCCAGAAGACCAGCTCCTAAAATATATATATATATTTGACATTTGACTTCACGGAACGGACCACTCAGCCGCCACCATGGGACTGTGACCCGGGCTGCGAGCTCCGAGAGGCGGCTGTTTGTGTAGTCTGAGCCCCCTGTTCAGACTGGACCTGAGCAGCTGTGACATTTTGAGCCATGGCTGCTGCTATCGCCAGTGGCCTGATCAGACAGAAGAGACAGGCACGGGAGCAGCACTTAGAGCGGCCGCAGCCCAACCGACGGAGGAAGAGCCCCAACAAGAACAAGGGGCTCTGCAATGGGAACCTGGTCGACATCTTCTCTAAAGTGCGCATCTTCGGCCTCAGGAAACGAAGACTACGGAGACAAGGTCTGGGAACTTTAGTGTGCAGATTGCCTGCTTTGTTGGCACAGCGTTGTGCATTCAGTGTAAACATGTGCATTCAACCACTGGTTGATAGCTCTAATTAGGCCTTTCACTGTCATAATCACATTGCTTCCTGTAGTTAAAGTACACAAGGTGATAATGAAATGAATGATTCTCATTTATTGCTAATTAAATTGCCAAATTGCACCTCCGTGCGTAAAAAGTTGAAATGAGGGGGAGAGAGGATTCTGTTGTGTGTGTTAGGCCACTGAAAGCAACCTGCCTCTGATTTGCATTCATTCCAGGTAGCACACGGCTCCTGACGAGTTGTACCAAATGCTTTAGACAGGCTTGCCGAGCTGTCAACTCGGCGATTCTAAAAAGGGGCCTGATCGTTATGAAGCACATGCAGGTTTTTCTAAACTGCTTATAGGCTACCAAAGCACATCATAAAAACCCAGAAATAAAACCAATTTATATGCAAGCAAAAATGTCAGTATCTCCGGTGGAATGGATTATGCCTTTCAATCTTTTCTCGCATAATTTTACGAATCCGTAGGCCAATGGCCTCTTATTGCTCCAGCCGATATTCATTCCACTTATGGAAATGTCATGAACAAATTTGCTCTAATGTGGCAACCTGGGATTGTTCTAATGCACTCCCAACAATTAGTTCTCTGCTGGAATCAGTGCCAACTGTGAACGTTATTTTTCTTCCAAAAATAAATTAGGGTAATTCATTTAGGAAATAAATTACCCAAATGATTTGTCCTTGTTAGTAAATAATGTAAGGCGACTGTATGCTCCTCTTGGAATCATCAGGTATCAAACCTGTTGCAGCACACTTACTGTGACTCCAATGGATTAAACACAATGTTGCACTATTTAATGGCTATCTTGCATTCAAATTAACATTTGTTTTTAAAAAGGAATCTCAAAGCAGAGTTTAGTCTTTCATCCTGTTCACAAAGAGAGACATTTTGATGGCCGAGCCTCTCATGTACACTTTCTGTTTTCATGTTAAATTTGAACAGTACAGTATGATGATTGCCCCTTGACCTAGTGTTTACACAGATTAAAATGGTATACATCATCCATACTGCAGCACATCTGGACATGGGTCAGAGTCAGGTTGCATCAGAATTGCAGGTTCTGATCTGTGTGTCCATATCTCAAGATCTTTGTGTGGATCTGATCTGTGCCAAATTGTCTGTCCTCCTCTGTCACATTGGAATTGGATTGTGGTATATATATTTCTTCATTTGATTACCAGCGTTCAGCAGCCCCACAGCTGAGGTGTCGACAGACCATGCTGTCATTTGATCAGGGAATTAATGTCTGGCCAGGGCAAAAGACAAACAAATATCAGGCTTTGTAAGATGGCCTTTTTGAGTGTGGTGTATAAATATTTAAGCATTTAATTGTGGACAATTGGGAGCTGGTTTAAATTGAATACTGAGTCAGACATGTGGAGGCCAAGTTGACTTGCACATCACACCTGCAACGGCCATTTTATAGAGCCACTTATGGCCTCCCTGAGCCTCAGAATAGTGATGTTAATCCACAGCAACAGTGCCAGCACAAGTGTTGGTCAACTGTGTCGTTAGGCTTTAAAAAGCATGACCCTGCTGTCTGCAAGATGAGAACAAATCCCAACTATATAAAAATAAAAATAATGGAGAAAGCCGTTCTAAAGGGAGTATTTTGTATCCACATTTTTTAAGCTGTAGTCAGAAAACAGGGCACCCTCTCTGTTTTCTCATGCTTTAATTTTGAGTTATTTGTTGTTAGAGGCCTAATGGGAATATAGTCCATTAATTTTACCCTCAAATGATAATTAGGAAAAATCTTTACCGAGTGATATCAGGCTTTTCTGTCAGGGGGCTCCTTTGAAAATACTGCACTTACCACTGTTTCTCTCCTCACCCCTCCACACCTCTTTGCACACGTTTCTTCTCTCCTTCTTCCCTTTCTTTTCTCTAATTCACCGTAGAATCACAAGAGCACACAGCTTAGGAAGACTAATGGCTTTTTGGGTGTGCTTGATTTAATATCGCCCCCAGGAAAGAGTTTTCTTTTTGTGAGCGAATAAAGTCTAATGTACCACACATCATATATGATTATTGATCACATAGGCAGACATACAAAGTTGTCTTCATACCCCATGTGAAAGAGGCATTTGACTTCCCTTTGACAGCTGAGCCTGCAGAGAACAGAACTTCAATACTATGATTATATATCAAAGTAACACTCAGATTTTCACTGACATCTGTCGAGATGAGGGAGTAGAAGTGTCTCTAACACCAGTATTCCCTTTGGCTTTGCTTATTGATCTCCTGAGACTCTAGATTATAATAATAATAAATACATTTGATTTATATAGCACACTTTAAAGACAAATGTCATATCAAGGTGCTTCACAAAGCTATAAGGAAAAACAAGTACAAATATATCTAAAGGAGCATATTGGATAAAATATGGCAAAATAAAAGGTTAAGAGCATAAAAGGTTTAAAAATAAATAAATAAAGTAAAGGACAGTCAGTAAAATGCGGTGTCGAACAAGTGGGTCTTGAGGAATTTCCTAAAAACTGAGAGTGATGCCGAGGTCCGTATGTTCTCTGGAAGCTGATTCCACAGACGTGGACCCAGGGAGGAGAAAGCATGGTTTCCCATGGTGACCAGTTTTGTCTGCGGAACAGTCAGGAGATTGGAGCTGTCTGACCTGAGTGTGCGTGAGGTATGGGAATGTTTTCTGGTTAGCAGTTCCTGTAGGTAGGTGGGGCCAGTGTGGTTGATGGCGTTGAAGACCATTAGACATAGACATAGACATACTTTATTGTCATTTCAACAAGACACAGAGTGTACTATTAAAACGGAATTTCGTTGTACTGGCTTACAGGAATAGGACAATATAAAAACTTGCTAAAATTGTACATATAAATAAATAATAGTGACGTGGTGCTGATAAAATTAAAGATAAAGTGTGCGTTTAAAATATAAAGACTTACTATACATATAAATAAAATAGACATACTATATAAAAAATATGTGCTCTTTACACAGCGTAATGTAATCTCTGTGTTACTGGTCTACTTGCTGTTCAGCAGTCTGATGGCTTGGGGGAAAAAGCTATTGCAGAATCTGGCTGTTTTGCTCTTAATGCTGCGGAACCTCTTGCCGGAGGGCAGCAGGGAGAACAGAGCATGGTGAGGATGAGTGGGGTCTTTATGAGTGGGGTCTTTATTATGAGGACTTTGTAGTTAATCCGGTGTTACAGGGAGCCAGTGGAGTGAGTGAAGGATGGGGGTGATGTGCTCTGATTTGCGTGTTTTTGTGAGTATCTGGGCGGCACAGCTTTGTACATAATATTGTAGTCTCTGAGTGGTTTTTGCTGGAATGCCTGCAAGCAGAGAATTGCAGTAGTCAATGCGGGAGGTGATGGACCAGTTTTTCTGCATCCGGTTTGGTGAGGGAGTGTCGCATTTTGGAGATGTTTCTCAGGTGGTAGTATGAGGCTTGGCAGACCGTCTTTATGTGTGCTTGGAATGAAAGGGATGAGTCCAGTTTCACACCAAGGCTCGTTACAAGTGGGGAGAGGGGAATGGAGTGGCCATTGATGCTGATATGAGGCATATCAGTTGTTTGTGTTTGATGTGGTGTTCCAATCAGAATGGCCTCTGATTTGCTGATATTCAGTTGGAGGGAGTTGTTGCTCATCCAGTGGTGTATGTGTTCCAGGCATCTTGAGACATTTGAAAGTGTCAGATGTGCCAGATTAGCTATTGTTATGGGCTGTATTGATTGGCAGTGACACAAATTGTGTTTTCAAGCCTGGTGAAATTCAAAGAAAATGTGTCCAAACCATCACAAATCTATATTAATCATCCTAATCTTAAATGCTTTTATTATGACAAGCTCTTCAGACCTAGATATACAACACACTTAAAAAAATGAAGTGTTTTCTGTGGCGTTCATTAGAATGCACAGATGTGGTTTCCAGTCCTCCAGCACTTGAGGGAATATGCTTGGAGCGCCTTGTGTTTTCTCCGTCATATCGGCTTTAATTTGGAATCCTCCATTCATTTTGATAGCAGATGCAGAGCCAGTGATCACAGAGTTTTAAGGGATTAGATCTGAGTTGTAAATCCTATTACACTCAAACGGTGAGCTGTGGGCACATACAGCTGGGGCTAGCCCATCATCTCACTGCTCTGGCTCTAATTATCTCACTAGATTAGATCCATAGATCATCAGATCATGTTACATAGATCGGATCATTAGATTAGTTTACATGATCTAGAGACCTATTTGAGATAAATGCCTTCCTGCATCGCGGCTGTTTATTCAGGGGTGTGTTTACGGTACACAGCAGTGCGTCAGCGTCTGACTGTATCAGATGAGTAATTGTTGAGATGTCAGAGATGTTGTTGATATGAGAGGATTGGAAAGGCGTTGTATCTTCCCCTTGCTTCTACCTTTCCATGGCAACAGAAGCAACATGAATGGGTTTGTCCTTTGCATGCTGGAAAAGCCCTTCTCCTATTCTAGAAACATCCAAAGTGGGTCAGACAGGACAGGGCTGACAGCAGTCTACAACTGCTGCTGCAGCTGTGACCGTGAGTGTGTGTGTTTGCTTTGAACTGATCCTAACGTGTGTGTTTTTGCATAAACACTCACAAACAGAGGAATGACAGAACAGAAAATGAGTGAGGGAAGGAAGGGGTTGTAGGGGGGCCGTTTATGAAAATAAAATACATTTTAATAAAAACCTTTCTGTATCAGTTATAGTTATGCAGAGAGGACCTTCAACAACCCGATTTGAGATCTTAAGGTTTTGATGTTTGTTGTTTACCAAGGAAACCCCCTGCTGCTGCCAAACCACTCTGTTTCCCTAGAAACTAATACATAGCATCCAGAAGCATCCAGTGCTTCTGTTGTAAAAACTACTACAAGTGAAACGGGTAGAAGTCAAACTGCACTAGAGGCTGGATGTGCCACTGGATTACACAGGCAGGCAGGCAGGCAGGCAGGCAGACAGACAGACAGGCGAGGGAACAAGATGCAGACAAAAAGACAATGAGTAGCAGAAGAAAGAAGGCGAGTGAGCCAAGGACATTCTCGACTTAGGGAATTCCACAGAGACATTTTCAAAGCAGTTCTTCTTAACAGAGCATACATTTATATCAAGCTTGTCTGACCAAACTAACAATTCTGTGTCATTGCAGACATATTTGTCTTCTTATCTTTGTGTGCTTTTCTCCCTATATGATATTCTCTTTGTCATACTTTATAAGGCAATTCAGTTTCTATCATTTCGATCTTATAAACTGCCTGGCTTATTACTCATTTATCTTACACAATATTTTATACACAATATATTAGGGCAGGCTCTCTGATGTGAGTAATGGGAAACCTTCAATAGACTCTGGTTGGCATGAAAATAAATTACCTCAAATCCATCAGGAAACATTTGATCAATTGTCCATGAGTGAGTTTGACCTTCAACACGAATTGCATCAATGATTGGCCAGCTTTACAAAAGCCATTAGTCACATGAATGTATTCTCAAGCATATATATCTGACGTGAAACCGTTAGTCATAAATGATGTGCTGAGTATTTGAGGTCACGATTCAATTCAAGATGCATTCATTCAGACACCTCTGAGTTAGATAATACTTTAGTATATTATATACCTGATTATTTATCAACAATTGCCCTTGTATTACTAAAATATATTTCATAGATTATTTTGTTATGTTATGTCTTTAAAATTGTATTTTCTTCAATTTGATAAATTAGCCAAGTTGTTACAGAGTTCAGTTCAGAAATATTGTAGCTCGAAACCTCAGGGAAATGTGTGTGTGTGTGTGTGTGTGTGTGTGTGTGTGTGTGTGTGTGTGTGTGTGTGTGTGTGTGTGTGTGTGTGTGTGTGTGTGTGTGTGTGTGTGTGTGTGTGTGTGTGTGTGTGTGTGAGTTTGTAGGTAAACTTGGCTCCTACAACATGCTATAAATCATGGTTTGTTGGCTGTGTTCCATAGGGAGAGCAAGTCAGTATACACAGACACACACACACACACACACACACACACACACACACACACACACACACACACACACACACACACACACACACACACACACACACACACGGTATTCACACAGCCAGTGACCAGTTCTGCAGTTTTAATTATAACAGATTGCCCCCCACGGATCTGTGTTCAGGATCAATCTCAGTGCCACACATTGTTTAAAAGCTGCTGATCAAAGTCCTTAATCGATCGCAGGTTAGCCAATTGTGTGTCTCCACACAAGAGAATTCTAGTCATCGAAAATCTATGAGAAAATGTGTGTGTAAAGTTGCATGCCATGGGCGTGTTTTTGTGTATGTGACGGTGTTTTCATGTTAGAATTGGGGTTTTAAATTGAGGTTATATACTGTGTGGTCTCTGCCCTCCTAAACTTGATGAATTAAGGAATTTAGTTATTTCCATTGTTATGATGCTCCTCTCTTTACAGTACATAGTTAGTGGCTTGAAGTTAAATAGTTATTATAAAGAAGTGGTTGGTCTTGATGATGATACAGCAATGGTTGTGCATTTGAATTCAGTTCTTTTTCTCCAACTCTCACTTTCTTGGTAGGCTACATCTCTTTAAGGCAAGATGGTGTCTGACATATGAAGAACAGAAATGAAATTATTTGCAGATTAAAATATTACTGCACAGAAAGAAAATAATGAAAATGATTGCACAGTTTAAAAACTCCCAACATGAACCCACATGTACTTTTATTAATATAATCTTGTTTTCTATTCCTTTTAAATGTTTGTTTATGGGTTATATTAAATCCACAAATTGTCAACTAAACATCATCATGAAAGCCAATCAGGAGTTTTGTTATGTAATTGATCAAACACACATGTCTTGGATCTAGTCCCTGTCAGGATTTCTCACATTTCTAGATTGAATATAATTAGTTTGGGCTGTTGAACAAAACAAGACATTTACTGGTTCCGCATTGGGCTCAGAGTTCACCATGAATTAAACACAGAGAAAACATGATGTCCTTACATTGACATTTTTCTTGCCATACATCTGAGAACTATTATGGCCCAGGAGGATACTGTCATCCTCCTGTCATCCTGCTCAATGCGGCTCAGACTAACTCTGACACATATTCTGCCTCAGCCACCTTTTCATTGTTCTCGTGAGGCAACAAAGCAGCGCTGTTGAATGCCGTTAGAGCGGTATTTCTCGGAAATACCGGCAGAAAGGCAATTTCTTCCCTTTTCAGGCAGCAGGCAAAGGTCTTAAAGCGACATAATGCCATCACCCAGCAGAGCCATTTCAGGAGAGACTGCCCCGAGCGGTACACGGACAGAAAAAAACAACCGTTCTCTGCCCTCAGCAACCTCTTGAGTTCTCCTCTGTGGCCATGCTCGCTTATTTCTCTCTCTCTCTCTCTCTCTCTCTCTCTCTCTCTCTCTCTCTCTCTCTCTCTCTCCTCTCTCTCTCTCTCTTCTCTCTCTCTCTCTGTACCACACACACACCACACACACACACACACACACACACACACACACACACACACACACACACACACACACACACACACACACACACACACACACAGTTGCTTGCAAGAAGCAGATTTAGGCTCAGGTGAAGTTGATTGTCTTCCTCCCCAGGGTTTTCTTGGAATGAAATCTAGTGTGATGGCTGTGTCTATAATAAGACTAGGGCTGATGGTAAACATTCAAACATGCGCTACATGCACACGTACACCCAAAGGAAAATAATACTGTTGCAGCGCTTTGAGCACAAGCTATACTTTTCCAGAGACATCCCACTGTCCCTGCATAGACTGGCAGAATTATTAAACATTTTCCTTTTATGTCTTCCATTTTTGAATCCATTTTTTGTAATACTGTGTTAGTACACATCCACAAAATGCCAACCAAATTGCAACAATTCTGGTTGAGCTGCAGTGGAATTAAACTGCAGCAGTGATGTTTTTACTGTAGCTTTTTGGCTAATTCCCCTGTTGGGTCATATGGGAGGGACAGAGCCCAGACGCTTTTTCTCATCTAACACTCTAAGGACCCAGAGAGGGTTCTGTTGGGTTCATTATGGGAGTCGGGCGACTGCAGATTAATTCTGCTGCCTATAATTGGATGGCCTATCTCTGAGCAGGGCAGGGCTTTTGTGCCCAGAAAGTTGGCAGTGAGATTTGCCTCTGATATACACAGGAGTCACTGTAACATAGTTCTGCACTGTATTTCATGGCGTTCTTCTGCCACATCTCTCTGAAAACCTCTTACCGATGATAATGTTATAATAAAGGTCCCATGTCATGGCTATTTCTACTGATCATAATTCCATTGTTGAGGTCTACTAAAATAGATTTTCACATTGGTTTCTCACACAGCATCTCTGTATAGTGTGTGAATTCACTCTCTGTCCTAAACGGCTTGTTGGAGCTCCTGCCCCCCCCCTCCCTGTGAGCCCAGTGGCCGTCTGCGAGACAGCGAGACACAGCGAAACCCAGCCCGAAACCAGCCCGAGCACACACACACACACACACCCGCAGCCTGGCTGGGAGTTTGTGTGTGTGCTCACAGCCTCGCCGCATCCCGCCGTCTCAGGGAGGAGAAATTGGCGGAGCAGCAGCTGAGAAAAGATTGAGTGTGTGTGTGTGAGGAAGTGCGCGGATTGGTCCATTTGGACCACTCCGCGTAGCCGATACGTTACGTCACTATACCCAAATCACGTCACTGTACCCAGGAAGAAAAAGAGAAATCTCCAACGAGGCGTTATGGGGCAGCATAGACAGGTCTTTTCTGTGTTTTACTCAGGGTGTACTTTGAGGGTGTGTGACTCTGCAGAACATTTACATGCATAAGAAGCTACATAACACACAAGGGGACGGGTAATAACCAGAAAAGCATGACATGGGACCTTTAAAGAAATAAGTTAATCTATTGAATTGAATTTGGTTGGTTTGAGCTTTTCATCAAACTACTAATTACTGATGTTTGTCTGTTTTGTCTCCCTTTTGTCTCCTGCAGATCCCCAGCTCAAGGGTATAGTGACAAGGTTATATTGCAGGCAGGGATACTACTTGCAAATGAACCCCGATGGCTCTCTTGATGGGACCAAAGATGACAGCAGTAATTCCTGTGAGTACCATCTGAGTGTCTGTTTGGCTTCTACAGTTGATCAAAAACATTTCAGGCGTCAAGAAAGTTTAGAAGAATTTCTAGCAGAGGATACTTTGGAAAAGTTACTTTGAATCTGTATGGGATCCTTGAGCACAAAGGCTTGACATTGCTAACTTCCTAGATGTATCCTTTTAGGTGCAAGGCTCATTTGTCAGCCTTCGGAGCCAAAGAGTCTTCTTAAGTGGCAGCTATAATATCACACAGATTTACCCTCCTCCTCTGAGAGGGAAAGTGGACCAGGAAACAGTCGGCTTAACAGGCAGAAAGGGGTATTATTAGCTTGTTCTGGCACAGCTCCTCTAGTGCTCCAGGCTAGGTGGTTAATTTGATTCCAGTGCTTGGTGCTAACGTTAGCCTGACACTCCACATTGTGTCACTTACTCCTGTCAGCATGAGGAGATTTGGCAGATGTCACATCTGATTCTGACTTATTGAAAGAGATGGAAAAACAAACAAGAGACAAATCATATCACTAAAACTACAAGATCAAATCAAGCGTTGGCACAGACTGCTCCACATTGAATTTGACTTTTTTTTAAATTGGCAGAGAGCCAACAAAAAACAATGGTCACGCAGTAGCTCTCTCAGCCTTCCCCAAGCCTCCAAACCTGCCAATATCAATCACTTACAGGGTCAGCAGAGTCTCCTATACACACACACCTAATGTCACAGAAAAGGCCAGGACTTTTTTTTTGTCCCCACTACAAACCATATCCATACCTTCCAGTCCCAAGGACTCTGCTAAAACAACAAAATGCCTATTAGGTCTGACACGCACCAGTGGTGGCAACAATTACAGCTACTTCTCAGGTAGCTCCGGGTGGCCGCGGCTATGCTAGGCTAGTCACGTTCATCATCCATGCTTCAATTCATCTTACAGTAATAGATTATCTATAGCATTTGTATTATCTAAGCCTTGAAGAGCATTAACAAGCAGCTTGCGTTCAGATGATGAATTACATAACAATGTTAAAGTGTCTTTAATGTTAGATTAATGGTTAGGTATTTTTATGGTAATGTTTGGTGATATTTTTACGTATTTGCGTGTTTGCCTGTTCACGTGTGTTTTTCAGCTTTGTTCAACCTTATTCCTGTGGGCCTCCGAGTTGTCGCCATTCAGTCCGTGAAGACAGGGTTATACATCGCCATGAACGGGGAGGGTCATCTGTACACATCAGTAAGTGCTATTCTATTCTATTTTAATGTTTTATATTCTATTCTATTAAATTGTTTCCTATTCTATTTCAATATATTATTTTCTATTCTAATTTTCAATTGTATTCTCTTGCCAAGATATCTGAGCATGTTTGGAAATGTGCTTGATTATGTTTATACATAAGGGCCTTTGTTGTGGCCTTGACATATTAATTTCCATATTAGTGTTTTAAGTACAAAAACAGTGATTCCAATAAAGATGTAGATACATTTTAACTGCCAGAAAGACATATTTTTTTCAATAAGGGACTTATTTAGCACATTTGCACTAGGATAATTACATTTCAATGAAGGTTAGGGATCCCATTAAGCTGAAATGCATCCAGACAGATTTCTATCCATCCGGCTAAATGCATCAGGCTAAATGAGTTTAATTCCTTAAAAAAAAATGCATTTACATTAGAGGACATCATTCAGGAGGAACACATAGTTCATATGGTCTGCTTTCGTGCTATTTCAGAATACAATTTAACTTCACAATCTTTTGATATGTATTTATGAGAATGTTTGTGATTGGTTAAGAAATGTTGTGACAAATACAATAAGCATTATGTTAACAATAAAGTCATTGTAAAGTAATCAGAGCTGTTTTTGACAAGAGTTGGGACATTTGATGAGCAGCTGTTTCATTATGTGTTCAACCACTCTTATTGACTGTTCAAAATAAGCTAGTTCTTCTGTGGGTTGGACAGCCAACGGGTGATAAGACCCTCCCCGGAGGCTTTTTAGTCTCATTCCTCCGCCTTTCCTCTCTCGGTCATTCAAATCAATCAGCTAGAGCAGGGGTGTCAAACTCAAATACACAGTGGGCCAAAATAAAAAAATGGGTACTAGTCGAGGGCCGGACTGGTTCAATGTTTATTGCAAAACTTATTAAAAAGAACTTATTGCACATATTAAACCTGGAACTAACAAAGCTTAAATTATTGCCTATAAAAACAACATTAAACATTAAATAATCAGTTGCATTCATTTCTTATGGCTCTATCTGCAGCTTTTCCGGAGTCATTTCTTATGATTATATTTTTCCACAGGCCAACAACAGTTTCAAAAAAACAATTTCCCTCAAAGAAAAAAACAAACATGCCCTGTTGTCTCAAGAAAAAAAGTGCAGGTGTGCGTGCAATATACCGGCGGGCCAGATCTAATAGTAATTCAAAATGATCCTGTGGGCCGAAATCAAATCTACCACGGACCTGATTTGGCCCCCGGGCCTTGAGTTTGACACATGTGAGCTAGAGGAACATAGGGAGTGCTGCCCCGTTCTCAGACAGGTGTATCCATCAGAATCACCGTCTCTTCTTCTGCTGCTGTCCTCATGTTCCTAATCCTCAGAGCGCAGAGCAGGGATTTACCATCCGTTCCTTCCTTTATTACCCTGGAGGTTTGGAGGGGCTTCCTCTCTTACTGTATGCTCTGGTATTCCATAGGAATTCTCAAATGCTTAATCACGGCTTGACTTAAGCCTGGAAAATGAATTAATTTAAGGAAGATTGACCTAGAATCCTATGGATATTGTTAAGGAGAGGCACAGCAGGGATTATGAATTAATGAATCTATGGATCCATCTGTCTGCACAACACACAAAGAAGCTATAATTCTCTCGATTTGAAAAACAAACATTAGATATTACAAAATGGCACATAAAGCATAATGATACATTTCAGATTAAGAATGAAATCTACGTATGTACTCTAGTTACTCTACTTTTTGAATCATAGAAGTTGATAACTGATGGTTGGGTTTCTCTGTAATAAACTGACAGTTGTTGCTGTGAAAACTCAACTTCAAGTGTTCATTGCTAGACCGACGTTATTTTTGATAAACGCTACTGCTAATTGGAATTCAAGCGATCTTAAAGGCCGTTTTTGAAGCGGTGTTTGTTGCTTTGATCATGTTAATTCAGAGACCTTAATCATGAAGTGTTGGACATGACTAATCCAAGTAGAAGTGCTGTGAAGTGGGTCTTGTTGAGCAGGTCAGGTCAAAGTGTTCTTTAGTACAGTTTACCCTGCTCCTCACTTCCCCTGCTCCATTTGCAGCTTATTTCTGTGCTAATGGAGGCTCTGATCAGACCTCGACTATCCAGCCACCCACCCAAAGGTCTCTTTCTGCTCCTTAGTGTGTGATTTACTCCGGTAATGGCAGCCTTGTAAGATGGTCTTCATCCTTCTTCATCTCCTCCTCCCCCTTCTTCCTGCCTCTTTTATTCTCCTCTGTGAGTAAGATACAACCATTCCTCCCATTATCACTCTTTTCTTTAGCAAGCAGGGCTCTGGCACTCAACCTTTTCCATCCATTAAAGGTATTTGATTGTAGTGCACTTACATCTTCAGTAACTAATTTGAAGGTTATATTAATGCAGCGTGCTTTGGAGTTGGTAGTTTGTCTGGAAACGCTGTGAAAAACAGCCTTTTTTAAGGGAAAATGTCTCATTATGGCCTCATTTGCCTGAAACCAAGTTATTTTGTATTCAAGTTACTTCAAGGATTTTTTTAATTGGTTATGAAGCAGTCTCAATGTACTACTGATGCCTCTATATTACTTGGCAAAGGAGACCATCAGTGTTCGAATTGGCTATATTTGATTTGTTTATTCTAACCCCTAACCCAACAACACCCGCTGCTAGCACACTTTCACAGCGAGGTGTATTCAAGCAAGTTAGACGGAAGCATGGATGAGATTTTTCATGAAAATACATGTATTTCGTGGTAATGGCTTATACTGGGGCAGGAGCCAAAAAAAGAGAATACAAAGAAGAAATGGTTGCAAAAAGGGATGATGATAGCGCTTGGACATTCATCAGTTGGAGAGAATCGCAGGATTCAATACTGATTGGCCATCTTCCTCCTAGAGTGGTGTGTCATTTGTCTTTTATATAATGAAAAATATTTCTAAAATCAATATAACGTTGGAGGCTTAAACAATATTGACTTTGCTTCACCAACTCCGTATTACATGTACAATTGTAAATCATACAACAAATCCTTATCGCTATTCAAACAACAGGTGCATGTTTTTCAAAAAACCAAATTGCATCTTTCTTTCACTTGGTTTAAAAACAGATGCCCACTAACCAGATCAAGAACCTTTCTGACGTGCGCTCCTTTCAGATGCTTTAAATAGAATTCAGTGGTTCACTTGTTATTCTGTCACAATAATACATTACTGGGGCTTTTACTGCGATGAGGGGTTTTGATAATGGGTGACACTCCATTTTTTTAACAGATGAGGTGAATTAAAGGAAGTGTGCCCCATAGATGGAAAGCCCATTGAAGGCCTGGTAGTGCATCATATTCCTTTGTGCGCGGCACCCGAGGCGCAGCGTGCGGCTCCAATGACAGAGATAGCCTCAAAGTGACTGTCGGCCTGGCACAAAGGACACACCGCCGAATAAAGGGGAGTTCAATCATCTCAACCCTTTTTTAATCTGCTCCTTTTGTATCCGAGCCAATAAACTCCCCGCTAATTTATCCTCCAGGCTCCTCCCTGGATCAGGCCTTTCTTCTGAAATGAAATGAGGGGAGAGGACTTTATTTTGGCTTGTTGTAGAAGATCGGGGAGACACGACGCATGGAAGTCTTTAGAAAGCTGTAATATAATTCAAAACCAGACAAATAAGAAATGAGAACAAACATAAAAACTTTAATTATTCTGCAGGGACTGTGATTTAAAATCCCCTGACAGGCAAACAAGGAAGTTTTGGATTGTAAAGTTTAGTTACATAATGATGAAATTATGTTTTACTTTCACTCTCCTGTGTGGATTTTGTTGTTGTTTTCCTGTCCTGCTGACAGACTCCTACCATCTCTCCAGTGTAAAGGTTTGGCATTTCATGGTCGGCTGGTTTCCTTTGGAGCTGGTTCCCGTCCCTTTCTTCACTGAGTCTCTCACTGCAGCCTTTCTTTATCTGGAGTCTGCACTTGTTAGCGCTACCTTTCATGATTGTCAAATTGACTTGCCACATCACTTGAGTGGTCCTTTTGGAAAAAGGAAATCCTTGAGAGGACCAATCTGCGGCAGTGCCCGGGCTTTAGATTCCCTTGTTAGAGGCTGTATCATCAGCGGTATGGACACAGAAGACTCTTACAGTATATGTGAAAGCTCCAAGGAGCTCTATGTGAGGGCTGCCTCAGTTTGTATCAGTATGAAAATGAAAGTGCAAGTGCATGAAAGAAAAGAAAGGAGCGGCTTATTCAGAACTCGGTGATGTGAAACCAAGAGAGTCTTTTCAAAAGCTACGAGTCCCTTGGATTTGGGTTTTACATAGCTCCCCCTCCCCATTCATTTCTTATTCTTTGGCCGTTTTTCCGTTGAAGCTCTCAAATATTCTGCCCATTAGGGGAAAAAACAGGATATTTTTATATTCAAATTCATTTTTAGTATGAGATTACAGATGAGTCAAATATTTAAATTGTTTTGCTAATCTCCTCAAACTATTGGAGAAAGTGAAAAACTGAGAATTGAAATAGTAGGATAACAATGATTTTGGTTGTTACATAAGAAGTGCATACATATTAATTCATCAACAGAATTGTGACACTTCTTCATGTGTCTCACGTTTGTATAAGCGTGTGTGTGTGTGTGGGGGGGGGTAGGCTACAGGCAACAGATGGCTTTGTGTGAACATGTTTTATTGGTGTTGATTGCAAATGTGCCATGAGAGGAATCTCTTTCACAGTTTCATGGATTTTTTACGGAAGGATATACACGTTGAAGGTGGGGCATCAGGAGCATCTCAGGTTCTTTTAATGCATTTAGGTGTGAAATACCTTTAGTATAATATTCTTATTTGAGTAAGATTATTGGCAACACGTATTCTACAACAAATGCAATTCATCATTTGAACATTGGTCACTGTTAGCCTAGAAGGCAACATCACTATGAACTCAAATCCCTCCAAACAGAAGTGATATAAGAAAGCATAATTCGTCATCATTTATGGATTAAAACCGACCTAAA